TATTATTATTAATATTATTATTATTATTATTATTAGTTGTAGTAGTAGTAGTAGTATTAATATTATTATTATTATTATTATTATTATTAGTTGTAGTAGTAGTAGTAGTATTAATATTATTATTATTATTATTATTATTATTAGTTGTAGTAGTATTAGTATTAGTGTTATTATTATTATTATTATTATTGATATTAGTTGTAGTAGTATTATTTTTATTATTATTATTATTATTAGTTTTAGTTTTAGTAGTAGTAGTTGTATTATTATTATTATTATTATAAGTTTTAGTAGTAGTAGTGGTATTATTATTATTATTAATAATATTATTATTATTTATAGTATTATTATTATTATTATTATTATTATTAGTTGTAGTAGTAGTAGTAGTATTAATATTATTATTATTATTATTATTATTATTAGTTGTAGTAGTATTAGTATTAGTGTTATTATTATTATTATTATTATTGATATTAGTTGTAGTAGTATTATTTTTATTATTATTATTATTATTAGTTTTAGTTTTAGTAGTAGTAGTTGTATTATTATTATTATTATTATTATTATAAGTTTTAGTAGTAGTAGTGGTATTATTATTATTATTATTATTATTTATAGTATTATTATTATTATTATTAGTTGTAGTAGTAGTACTAGTATTATTATTAGTATTAGTGTTATTATTATTATTATATTATGTATATATATATTTGTATTTTATATATATATTTTCTGCTTGAATATGCGTAGTTTAGGTGACATGGTTAGCATTGTCGGCTCACAGCATGAAGGTCGGTGGTTCAAGTCCCGGCTTGGTCAGTTGTCATGAAGTTTGCATGTTCTCCCCGTGTTGGCGTGGGTTTTGTCCATGTGCTCTGGTTTCCCCCACAGTCCAAACACATGCGCTGTAGGGGAATTGATTAACTAAGTTGGCTGTAGTCACAGTGTAGTGTGTGTGCGTGTGTGCGTGTGTGTGTGTGTGTGTGCGTGCGTGCGCGCGTGTGTGTGTGTGTGTGAGTGAGTGTGTGTGTGTGTGTGTGTGTGTGAGAGAGAGAATGAGTGTGTATGGGTGTTTCCCAGTACTGGGTTGCAGCTAAAAGGGCATCCGCTGTGTAAAACTTGCTGGAATAGTTGGCAGTTCATTTCGTTGTGGCGATCCCGGATGAATAACGTAACTAAGCCCAAGGTGAGTTGTCGCCTCACAGCAAGAAGGCCGCTGGTTCGAGCCTTGGCTGAGACAGTTGGCGTTTTTGTGTGGAGTTTGCATGTTCTCCCTGCTTTTGTATGGGTTTCCTCCGGGTGCTCTGGTTTCCCCCACAGTCCAAAGACATGCGGTACAGGTGAATTGGGTAGGCTAACTTGTACGTACTGTGCAAAACATGTGCTGGATAAGTTGGCGGTTCATTCCGCTGTGGTGACCCCAGATTAATAAGAGGACCAAGCTGAAAAGAAAATGAATGAATGATAAGGTACAATTTTTACAAAGGTACAAAACATTATTTGTACCACCGTGTACCTTTTTTTCTGAGAGTGTATCATATAAACATTGTTTTTGTGGTCCAGAGGGTCTCATATCTGATCTAAAATCCTACTTATTCATACGCACTGTACATTATGATTATTTGTTATTCGTTTATCTGCTTCAGGCTTTGTTCACATCACATGATCGAGATGTATCGCTGCGCTTTCCTGAACATTTTTATTTTTTATTATTATAACATTTTAACAACACAAAAATATGCATGCCAGGAGGTAAGCATAAATCAAATACAAATTTACAAAATGTACATATGTAATAATCAAATAAATACATTGTAGAGTTCACAAAGTTTTAAAGTGCGTAGGGCTTTCTTATTTAGAGAGTCTCTGATATTACTGATATGTAAGCATAGCTTTCCTGAACAAATGTTTGCGATTTTCTACTACTTAAATAGTCAAACAGCGCCATCTAGTGTTTAAAGACACCACTGCGCTGCACTGGAGGGACATTCAAAACATGCTCACCCTGTTAAAGGGATAGTTCACCCGAAAATGAACATTTAATCACAGTTGCCTCTCCCTCGTGTGTTTCCAAAGCTTTAGGAGTTTCTTTCTTTAGTTAAACACAAAATAATATATTTTGAAGAAAGCTGGAAACCACTGACATCCATAGGAAAAACAAATGCAAAGAGAAGGGTTACAGGTTTTAACATTTTTCAAGATATCTTCTTTAGTGTTCAACAGAAGAAAGAAATGCAAATAGATTTGAAACAAGTAATAAGAACATTTATTTTTGGTTGAACTACCCCTTTAAACCTTCATCACCCTGTCGAACCTTATTCAGGTTTTGATTAACTAAATTGGCCATAGTGTATGAGTGTTTCCCAGTGTTGGGTTGTGGTTGGAAGGGCATTCGCTGCGTTAAACTTATACTGGATAAGTTGGCTGCGGTGACCCCTGATTAATAAAGGGACTAAGCCGAAAAGAAAATGAATGAATGAATTAATGAATGAATGAATGAATGAATGAATTAATTAATTAATTAATTAATGACAAATGAATGAATGAATGAATGAATGAATGAATGAATGAATGAATGAATGAATGAATGACGAATGAATGACGAATGAATGAATGAATGAATGAATGAATGAATGAATGAATGAATGAATGACAAATGAATGAATGAATGAATGAATGAATGAATGACGAATGAATGAATGAATGAATGAATGAATGAATGAATGAATGAATGAATATACAAGAATGCATGTAACTGGTATCCATTAAGCTCCAGAGTAAAACAAAAATGCTATAGATGTCAGTTCGACAAAAGAAAGAAGTTCGACAAAAGAAAGAAACTCACGTTGGTTTGGAGCAAATGGAAGAAAAGTAAATGAAGAAAGCATTTGACTAGATGCCATTTTACTGAATTTGCATTTCTGAAACAAACAAAAGAGTTCAAGTTAATTTTAGGTGATAAAGAGAATGAATGTTAGTGTAAATAAGCATGTAATATAAAATAAACAAGAATATAATGGAAAAAACACACACAGCATCCTTCTTTTCTAGTAGCCAAAATGCCACCATAATGGCTGCCATGATGTTGTGCTAATGACATAATTTGGAGCCTGACTCTGTGCAGCAATCATTAGGCTGAAGCCACAGCATTAAAGTTCAACCCAAACTCTTACAAAAGTCTTGAAACCAAACCTTGTTTTTATTTGAAATAACTAGCTTATACATATTACAAACAAACTACAACATCATTTAATAAATGTCTTTAAAGCAAATTGATATACTATCAAAATACAAAAAATGTGTTTGTTTATAGTGTACATATAATGAAGTCAATTAATTTTTGACTATATTTTGATTATTACAAATTTCGTTTATCAAGTTTTCAAAACACAACACTAAAGAACTACATTTTACAAGATCCAGTCAAACTCTAAATGTACACTCTGGTGTCTCGATACTATCTAAAATCTGTTGCATAGTATCGAAATCAATTAATTTTCATCTTTTTTTTGATCATTACAAATTTCCTTTGTCACGATTTTAAAACACAACAATAAACTACATTTCCCAAGATCCCCTCAAACCCCAAATGTACGCTTTGGGGTTCAAATGTTCGATTTAGTATCAAAGTCAATTAATTTTTGTCTGTAATTAGATTTTTACAAGTTTCGTTGGTCACGATTTTAAGCGCAACACTAAAGAACTACATTTCCCAAGATCCCCTCAAACCCCAACTAATTTTTACTCTTGGGTGAACTATTTCTATATAAGCCATTTTACTGAATTTGCATTTCTAGGTAAAACAAAAGAGCAAGAGTAAGATCTAAATTGCATGTTAGTCTATGTAAGTAAGTTTGTAATAAAGAAATATATAAAAAAAAATAATAATGTTAAAAAAATTTTTCTCAAGAAACGTGAAGGCAAAATGCCACCAGAATGGCTGACGAAATTGGAATGTGTAGTTTGTTTATACACAATTTATAACAAAGTTTATTATTTTTATATATTCGATTATTACAGGGGTATTTGTCACAATTTTAAATGCGACACAAAAGAACTACATTACCCAAGATCCCCTCAAAGCCCAAATGTACACTCTGGTCTCGCAATACTATCTGAAATTGATTTCGCAGCATCGAAGTCAATTAATTTTTGTCTGTATTTTGATTATTACAAGTTTTTTTGTTTGTCACGATTTCAAACGTGACACTAAAGAACTACATTACCCAAGATCCCCTCAAACCCCAAGTTTGGTATCGCAATACTATCTAAAATCTGTTGCGAAGTTTCGTAATCAATTAACTTTCCTCTATATTTTGATTATTACAAGTTTCGTTGGTCACGATTTTAAATGTAAGAGTGATCTATTGCTATATAAGCCATTTTACTGAATTTCTAGGTAAAACTTAATAGTAAGATCTAAAATTTGTAAGCATCTAATAATGTAATAAAAAATTAAACCACAAATCTAAAAATAAAAATCCACAGCTTCCTTCTTCTAGAAAAGGGAAGCCTAAATGCCAACGGAATGGCTGCATCGTCATCTTGTGCCAATGGCATCATTTGGAGCCTGATTCTGTGCACCGGTCATTAGTTAAAGCCACGGCATTACAATTAAACCCGAACTCCTACAAAAATCTTGAAATAAAACCTGTTTATAGCATGAAATAACTAGCTAAAAGCAAACACAAAACCAAACAAGGAAGTCATTTCTTTAGTATATTTAAAACAAATTTATGTATTATGTAGTTATTAAAAAACTGCTTACATAAAGTTTATAACGAAGTAAATTAATTTTAATTCGTCTATATTTCGATTATTACAAAAGTCGTTTCTCACACGCAACAATAAAGAACTACATTTCCCAAGATCAACCCTGGTATCGCGATACTATCTAAAATCCGTTGCGTAGTCTCGCGAGATCACCTTCCTGCTGTCTAGCACAGCACTAAAAACTGTCAGTGAGGCTAGTGGGGGGTAAGAATTGACCAAATCTGCGACTGTCCTGTCAAACAGCGGTGTGAATGTCCACATCTGTGCTCCTGTGTTGTTATATACGTCACGCGTGACGGCTGAGGAGAAAACCCCCCCAGCAGCGTTCTCGTCCAAACTGTACAGGCCAAAAACAGAATCTGAAGTAGATCAAACAGTGGGCTGTGATTCAGCGAGCAAATGGCGTTGAAAAGAATCCAAAAGGTGAGTGTGCAGATCGCAAAACCTCACACACTCCATCAGTGTCCTAGTCGTCGTCGTATTGTGCTGCTGTGAATGTAAACAAGTCGCACTTTACCCATTTTATCCCCATCTGGTCAAGACAAAGACGGATGGCTAATGGAGGATGCATGCAGTCGACAGAAACACGATCTTTTTTTCTGATCCTACACATGAACGTGCACACTATTATATGCAGTCTTTATTTATTTTTGTAATATATTGCTGGTTATGAGTGTTTGATTTGCGCAATATGCTATCGGCAGCGTCTTTTGTTAAAGATACAGGGGATATCTGTGCATCCCACACGTGTTGTCAGCAGTATCAGACGCTGTTATGAATGATTTATGGTGTGTGAGTGTGTTGGATGGTTAACATTGCGTTGAAATGCGTGTTTTGTGTTGTCGGTCATCATGAATGAGAGAAGCGCTGCTTTTGCGCATGCGTGATGGCAGACACTGCTTTCAAGTTGCCAATGCTGAACCCCAATGTCAGCGTGTCCATATATGGCTCGGCAAATAGGGCACTAGGACAGCGGAGGGTATTTTTAACAGATTCACAACCCTGCCTGCTAACAAGCGATTGCTGCAAAAATCAACCGAGTTTTGTGGTTGCAACCATTACCACTTATTTTAAGAAGAGTATGTCTTGGTGTTTATTTAGCTACTCACCCTAGTGTTGTTGTTGTGAACTCGCATGCTGTTATATTTAGTAAAAATGTGCATTTAGCTGGGTCATTTTTAAGATTAAGGTAAAGTTGTTTTTTTATTCACACATTTGTTATATTTCAACAGCAACCCAGGGCTGCCAACTTTTGGTTTTAGCTTGGAGTGAGAATTTTAGTCCCACCCCTATGCCCAAGCCACGCCCCAGAAGCAAACCACGCCCCCATTTGTTTATAAATATATATACACAATTATACATTTATTATTTTTTGATAAATACTTTAAATAAAATATGTATTATAAATAATAGTATTATTTTATTCTAAATATAAAAAAAATCGGGCTTGTGGCTGGAAGGGCATCCTCTGCGTGAAACATGCTGGATAAGTTGGCGGTTCATTCCGCTGTGGCGAGCCCAGATTAACAAAGGGATTAAGCCGAAAAGAAAAAAAAACACTGGGAAACATTGTGAAGACACAAGTGAGGCGATATGCTAAGATCATTTAAGAAATCTTTTGCGTAAATATAGTAATTTCAGGACAGCACGGTGGCTCAGTAGTTAGCACTGTCGACTCACAGAAGTAGGGTGCTGGTTCATGTCCCGGCTGAGTCAGTAGCCGTTTCTGTGTGGAGTTTGCATGCTCTCCCCGTGTTGGCGTGGGTTTCCTCTGGGTGCTCTGCACAGTCCAAACACATTCACTATAGGGGAATTGATGCACTAAATTGGCCGTTGTGAATGAGTGTGTATGAATGTGTACATGATAAAGTGGCTGGTGAGTGTATATATTGTGCACCATCTTACATGCAATATTCGGCACATAAAGGTATATATGTAAGCATATGAAATATATCAGATCTCATCCTCACAGTCTAGTCACTTCTCTAATTAACCCCCTCGAGAGGCTGTTTGTGTTGCTAGAAGTTACTCTCTGACTCAGAGGGTTGAAAAGGCCTCTCTAAAGATAGACGTGAAGCCATCAGCTGTTCACCGACAGCACTTTCAATAACCCGAAACTATCAGCAATGAATTGATCAGTCCTTATTTGACCCAACAGAGAAGTTTTGAATTTAGCCACATACAACGTACAGCATTTTATAGGCATCTTCCTATTCAAAAAATTCTAACAATGATGAAAATATCAGCAATAAATAATACATATGATAAAAATCTAAAACCACATTTTAATAAATAAAATAGATGAAAAATGTTTAAAGGATTCACTTTTAAAAATGTTTCCTTTAAATATGCAGTGCAGTAGGTGATCTGCCAAAATCCTATCTGTTAGCACAGTGGTGGGCAAACTTTTTAGACCTGAGGGCCACATCAAGTTTTGCAAACCAAGTGAAGGGCCACATGTCAAACTCTTAAAAAAAAAACCTTTTATTTATAGTGGCAGTAGAAGGTTGCTGGTTCGATCCTCGGCTCGGTTGGCGTTTCTGTGTGGAGTTTGCATGTTCGCGTGGGTTTCCTCCGGGTGCTCAGGTTTCCCCCATATTCCAAAGACATGCCGTACAGGTGAATTGGGTAGGCTAAATTGTCCGTAGTGTATGAGTGTGTGTGTGTGGATGTTTCCCAGAGATGGATTGTGGCTGGAAGGGCATCCGCTGCGTAAAAACTTGC